TTAACGAATGGACTTAATCAAATCTACTGCTTGTATTATTTGATTGATTTTTAACAAAAAAAAAAATAAAGGGACAACAAATTACTATTGTACAGGGTGAGTACACTGTTACAAATGTAGTTTTTTTATTCTATTAAAAATTACATCTTATATTAGAGAGAGACAAATTTTTTTAGTAGGTGGAAATTTGAACGACTTTTTGACTGGAGGTAAATATCTAAACCATTGAGCTATGTTCAAACCTACCCGATGGTTGAGTAGTTATATTTAAGTTGGTGGGTCAAATGGTCTAAATGTGTTAGAGAGTGAGAATATAGGATAAATACTAAGAAATGGTGGTACAGATATAGAAATAGAGACGAGAGAGAGAGAGAGAGAGAGAGAGAAGAGAAACTATATTAGCAAGAAGGAAAGAACTTGTGTTAGATTGAGAAAATATAGGAAGAGAGAAATAAAATCACTAACATATCTCCCTTGAACACAGTGTAGATTTAAAACCTCACTCCCATGATCGTGATTTGATTGCTCAAGTTAGAAGTTAATTGATGCAATTAAAAACAATCTTAGTTTAGAGGTTGTTTATATAGCCCATTCGAGCTAGAATCGGTTGTTTGATCCCATGGTTATATAATTCTTTTTCTATTAAACTTTTATTATTTGATCATGAACTTACTATGAGAAGAAAGTAAATATGTTTTAACATTTTATTATGATTCACAATTCAAGCTGTTTGAACCATTCTCCTATAATTGCTATTGAAATGGCATGTCGTTCCATCAAACATGAAATAAAATTAGACATCTTCTGCAGTTTTACACTTCACATGAAAGCGTAACTTGCCACTTTAATAAAAGAAAATTTTCTATTTTGATACTAAAGGGTGTTCACTTGGTATTTATCTTCAATTATTTAACATGCTACGTTAGAGTTTCTTATAGTAATACCAAAAATAAATCATTTTAAGAGGGTAAAAATATGCCAAGTAATGAGAAGGGAACATTGTCATTGTACAACTTTTTTTCCCCTTTTTAAGTTATGGAGACAGTTCACCTAAACCCAATGCTTTAATTTACACTGCCCTGGTAGTTTTTTTTNTCTTCCTGGTAGTTTTTTTTTTTTTATATATAAATAAATCTGCAACCTAATTAATTCATGGCAGAGCTAATGAAACAGCAGCTGCTACAGGCAAGAACACAGCCATCATAAAAAAATCCAAAAATATAATACAGTTGTTATAATCAGCACAAAAGAGAAAGGGCAATAGAGATATTCGTAGGGAAGCAATTAATACAATGTCATTACAACTTACAAGTGGGCCTCCAGAGGTTCTCAATAGTACTTCAGGCTTTCACGCAGCAGTTGAAGCAGCTTAGAATGCTCTTTCTCGTCTGGCAGAACACCCGAAAGTATATGAGAATCAGCCGAAAATGGACACACTTTGATATTACCTCATATTCAAGTAAAATTTTAGAAGATGGAACACTCATTTGAATGAGTTTGAACCTCAAAAATGAGATTTGGGTAAGAGCCCAAATCACTTGAGCTGGAGGTTACACAAATTCAACTGAACTAACCCGTGGTTTTTCATCTAATACTGGAAGACAGATTCGGAAACGATACTAACTTTTCACTGATGAAATGAAAAAGATACAAAAAGGAGTGAAAACCCGAAAAGAAAAGAAAAGAAAATACAAAGCTTTGGAACCCGACCTCCATCCTATTACTCCCCATGTTTGCAGTTTTGCACTGTCTGTGTAGTTAGTTCCTCCTTCCCCTCTAAGACTCGCTCTTTCCCCATCCCTCATACAATTTATTTCTCTCTCACATAACCAGATTAAAATCTAAATGCCGAAACCAATTAAATCCTAAAACATAATGTAACTGATAAAATAGAATAAAACGGGATCGTAACAAATTTTCATGCTTATTTCATTCTATATCTGACTAGGCAACCGGCCTTTCATCCTTTTGAATTTAGAAGTCGATTTTTCAAAAGTAATTAATGTGGTATTCTGTGGCCAAGGATTCTTGTTTAATGCAATAAAACATACGGACAATGAAAAGCACACATCAACAGAATATAAACCAAGAGTGGTCTAGAAATTATTAGAGTTAGCTGTCATAACGTGGCTGACCTTCCAAAACACGATCACGTCCCCTTCAATTGAAACCAAGAAATTTTGCCTAAGACGACACATCTAAAGGTCATGGGAGATCAGCCACAATATAGCAACACACCCAATAATTTCTCAACCACCGTTTATTTAACTTCAATTGGAACTGAAAGAAAAAAGAATAAAAATCATTAGACATTGACATATGTTAGAATCGTCCTTGGTAGGAAAAATTTGCTTCTCTTCACCTTCCCCCCCATATAAGGAAAGAAAACCTGTCTGGCCACTGCCGTTCCAAAACATGACATAGGATTTACTGCAGATGCCTGCACACCACTTATGCTTTCTAGTGGGCTAGGTGCGAAGAGGACCCAGCCCGCAACTTGTTTCCACAAACGTAACTTTAAGTCAATATCTCTCTCACTCTAATTGAAAACTTCCACATGGGATCTGAACAAACACAAGGCCTAATTGGTAATTTAAGTAGGCTCATGAATAGTCTAATATTCCACCTTGAGAACTGAACTGAACTGAAATTATGGCAATATAATTTCAGCTCCTTAAACAATTTTTTTTATCTTTCTCCAGTAATTAATTTGTTTTATTATTCTGTTTAAATTTTATTTTGGACAATATTCTTGTTTGAATTTTATGCACTGAAATAAGGTATAGGACGTTCATCACAAATATTTTGAGAATTCTCCTCTCTAAACTGAAGCATGTTTATGCTGTTTTTAAGCAGGCATGTAAGCATGTTTCACTTTGTCAATAATCAAAACAGTACAAGAGTCTGGATCTAACGATCAACAAAATCAATAGATAGCTCTAACAGTTAAACGAAGAACTAAGTGTTGACTGTTGAGTCATTGGGATCCTCTTTTTTCTTTTTCTTTTTTTTTTTAATTATAAATTTATAACTATAATGAGTCTGGGACAATTCCCTCAACCCTACAACATTTAGGGTAGGAAATCTAATATCCAAGACATTCAAAGTGCTATTAGCCAGTTCATCATAAAACTAGATGACAATTCAGGGAAGTGCTTTGACCTCGAGACTTTTAGGTTTGTATTGATTTTTCAACAATTAATAGCTGTACCCACAAGTTAATAGACAATAGCAGCATGGACCCACAAGTTTGATAAAGAAACTTCCAGGCACATACAACACATTGATGTAACCCAACCCAACCAATTCTTGCGTTTTCCAAACGGTATTTGTTTACAAGAACATGCAAGTCCCTATCAGACAATCAAAAAGTTACCAATATCAAATCTTAGGGAGGAAGAGTACGAATCTTACTGGTGGAGGATGGTGACTCTGATGATAGGGGTGGTGATTTTCAGTAGGAAAAGAGTCTGTTACGGTTGGGGGCGTGGCTGAGGCAATGAGCTCCTCTTCATTTCCGAGACTCGCCCTAGACACATCTCTCTTGTTCTGTTTCCTATTTTCCCTAATTTTAGAAAAATCAAGGGAGTAGTCCGGCAGCGGTCCCTTTTGGTCCCAATCTCCAAACTGTGGCACTGAAAGCCATGGAGCAGTTTTCTGAAGAAAATAAGAATGTCAGTTTCGTTTTATATTTCTTAAAAAATAAAAGAAAGAACGTCAATTAAAAAAACTCTGCAGGTTTCTAATTTAAAGAACTAACAGATCTATAGTCACCAAAGGCATCGACCACATCAAAGGTTTATAGTCACCAGAGTCGGAAACTGACTGTTTTAGGTTTTTTTCTTTTTTCATCTGATTCCAATTTACTATCTTATTAGAGCCAAGAAAATCCTTCTAATTTCTTTTACAGATCAATTTAGAGTTCGAATCGTTATCTGCGAGTAATAAATAAATTGGATAAGTTATTCCACCTTCAAAGTCAGTGACAGCAACTTTTCTAAATTTTTATTATTCAGTCTTCAAAAGCAAGCCCCCCCAAAAAATAAAGTCAATAGTTGAAATACAAGAGCAACTGAAGGAAACTCATCAGCTAAAGCGTTGAAATTTTGTAACCAAGGGAAAACAATTGCCGAGAGGATGGAAGAAAAGTAGACAGATTTGACTGCTTCCCAGCTTACAAAAAGTAACATGATTGCCTCCGTGAATTGATCAAAAAATGGTTAAAAAGCAAAAGCATAACGCCAATTTCTCCCGTGACAAAACACATACGTCCAAATCCAACCAAGCTAGCGAGATAATCAGATTACATGTCTGAATATTCAAAGCAATGTGAGAAAAAATTCGACAGAGAAAAAGGCAGAAAACTCAAAAATCAAATTCAATTTACAAACAGGAAAATAAAAATACACATGCATGTGCAAGATGAAATGCCAGGAAAACATCGATGATTATTACGCTCCAAAAGGAAGCAATACCAGAGTAACATTTGAAACTTACTTCACAGTTTGACTAATTACGAAATTCTAATGCTTCTAGGACTGTTTTCATTAGGCGAGGTTAAAAACTAGAGAAACGACAATCTCTCCTCTTCAAGAGTCGCGCTGAAGCAGTCAGCTTAGATCAATAATTTCTTTCCATTCCCTCAGTTAAACCAGTAGATAAGGCAAACAATAAAACGAAACCCGAAGATTCTCAAAGCAAAAAAACAGAGCAAGAAACAAGAAAAAGCAGAAGCAGGCAAGCAAAACAGAGAGAAAAACCACCTCCTTCCGATCATCCATCGTATCGAATACAACTCTTCACCTCGTAACAGCACGAAGAACAGCAGACAACGAGACGATTCAACTACAAGAAAGAAGAGAAGAGTTCTTCGAATAGAATTGAGAGTGAAAGCGTATAGCAAAAGCAAAGCAGGTGCAGTGGGAAACGAGACACCAGTTCTTTGGCTGATAAAAGAAGAAGAAAACTGGAAAGCCTCTGTTTTCAGTCTATATAGGTCTCCCAGTTGGCAATAATGGGCCTCCAGTGTTGGTATATTACGATTATGCCACTGCAGCATTAGTCTTGGCTGTTTCGGTGCGGCCTTCGCTGGTTCTCAGGCTTTTCCAGTTGTATGTTTAGCCTTACACGGAATTAAATATTAGATATATATATATTGTGGCGCTTACGCGGATTGAAATTATTGGATGGCCAAACGACGACGTCTGATTCTTTCGCGTTTATAGATAAAGCTTTGATCATTCAAGATGGATGTGGGAGGACCTATTTTTCTATATGAAATTGCTTTTGATTTTTTGTGTTAAATAAAGTTGTTTATTGATTTGAAAATATTTTTAATATTGATAAATTGGGGTTTTCTCCTTGTCTTCTCGTTGACTCAATTGATACATATATATAAAAAAGGCAAAAGAAGGAAAACCAAAAAGAAAAGGGAAATTAAATCTTCATTTATTTCCTGGGATTCATGAATCTCCACATTGCATGCCCTCGAGTGAGAGCGTGTATGTCGTAAATGTCCAATTTGTCAAGAAAAATATTGAATTGCTTCTTTCTCAATATCTGTTAGCTGTACCGATTTTGGAACATAACATGGTGCAATTAGACAATATTGGATAGCATCTCGAACAAAATGACACTTAATTTCGATGTGTTTGGTGCGTTTATGGAAAATTGGATTCTATGCTACATGTGATATTGTTTTTGGACAATGAACTCTCAAACTCAGAAGTATACCTTCAATTATTTTAGTTCACGTGTAATAGAAGTATATAACGATATTCTACCCGAAGAGCAGGCAATTGTATGTTGCTTCTTAGTTTTCCATGAAAATGGTGAATTCCCAAAAAAAAAAAAAAGATCACCAAGTAAGATGATAAACTACCCAATCTCTCACACTAACTTGTCAAAAACATATCACCGTCGGAACATAGACTAAGTTAGGACAGGTGACAACCAAATAATTAAGACGTCCAACTAAGTGTCAATAGGACAGGACTTGGGATTTGAGAGAGGATGGGCTCGTGGCATGC